TTTATTTTATTTATTGTATATACTTTTTGATTATTATTTATTGTTATTTTGCTTCCATTTATTTTATATTTTTTGTACATATAGTGTGAATGTTATCCTACCTCACTTTAAATAGTGTCCATGTGACAGATTGTCGTAATACTCGATAAATAAAAAAAAAATTCTGTGAAGAATGTTATATCAATATAATTTTAAAAGTTATTCAATTTCGTCTTTGAAAATATAAAATTAATTAAGAATGGTCAAGATGATTTATATTATTAGAATTAGTTTAAATCGAAGGTTATCAAAATTTAAATATTGGCTTTTTTCTCTTTTTTTTTTTTATAGATGTCCATGTTTGTTATGAGGTCAGGTATATTCAGGATATGTTGAGGCTAGTAGAACATGATGTCTCATTTTTTCAATGTTGCATTGTAGAAACTTTCTCTTTATGTATCCGGATGTGTGTACAGTTCTCACGGTATGGAAAAAAAAAAAAAAAAAAAAAAAAAAAGGTACCCTTGAGAAAAATCTGAGAATGGAATATATCGATTTCTATGATTTATTGTACGTTACGATTAGACTGTAAAAGGTAAGACATTTCCCTGTGTCAGCTGGATGCAGCGAATTTTTTTTTACCCAAGTTACTAGATATAGAATAATTACTAGTTCGAATCATGGTGCCGGTGGTTTTTAACTCTGGTATTAATCTCCGCCCTCTCTCCTGGCGTGGGAAATTCTCCATATAAACTAAAATACAATAAGGGGCAGACAAAAAAAAAAAAAAAAAAAACCCAAATACCGAGGTTTCAATGATGAACTTCAAAAACATCAGAACCCTATATTTTCTATACTTGCTCTTCAATCCCTCTTAACCCTACGAGACAAAAGTTAATGTAGAACTTTTATCAGAGTACTATGAATAGATAGTTTCTGTAGAAGTCTTGTCATTATATTTTTTTACTCACATTTACTGGTTGTATTTCTATTTTAATACAGTTGTGAATTTCATGAATGAAAAAAAAAAAAAATATTGGGCTGATTTTGTGAACAGTCTAGTATAAATGTTTGCCCAGTCAAACTAGACATATCACCTTGCAAAAGGTCGGCTAATTCAAATTTCTTATATACATTACTTGTTATGTAGTGAATATAATAAATTGGATATGTGTCTATCTAAGTATAAGTATTTTGATTAGTTTAGTTTCTTTTACGGCGGAGGGAGGTGTGTAATAAGCGATTGGTGGTATCGGCATCGAACCTTCGGGTTTGCTAAGCCTTCTATTATTATTATTATTAGTTTCTTTTAGTTTATATACATTTACTTTTAGTATTTATATTTTGCTTTTTATTTATTGTAGATGTAGATTGTAGAATGAGATACTCTTGTATCACTATTACTACTGTCCTTTGGTGTGACAGATTGTAATATTTCTCAATAAAGAATTAAAAAAACAGAAATTGTAAGATATGTAGTGGATATAAAAAATCTAAGTTTCTGCCTTTCAAAGTTTTATGAGTTCCTCGCAGTGCTTCAAAAACCATTGAAATTTCAACCTTTTTTTTTATTTACTCTAAATATCTCCTTTTTAAAGTGAGATATATATATATTTAATCTTCAACAGCTTCAAATTATCTAACATTTTTTTCTAAACCCAACTGGAAGCGAAATATCGAGGTTTCAAAATAAGTAAAGTTTTGATAATTCGTAAAAAAAAATATGTTTTTTTTTTTGTTTTTAACTAATAACTGTTTTTATAGGAGATTTAGCTCAATTTTTTAAATTAAATATTATAGCAGACACAATTTAATGCAGTGTTTATAGGAAACATATTCTTCTAAACTTAACTTGAATACTAATCGCTATATAGTAATTGATGTTTTGAACTTTGAAATAAATCCTATAATTTTATTTTTACTGTTTTCCACTTATTTTAATGAAATTGATCATTAAAAATTACTGTGTTTTTTGTTGCTATTAAATTAGATTTATTATGTACACAACATACCTAACTATGTAAAAACGAAATTTGAATTACCCGACCCGGCAAGCAAGATCTCAAGCAAGGAGCCCGTTGCAAAAAAGGTTTCATATTTCATTCTAAGGTTTGTCCTTGTAAATTGATCTTATCCACAGAACAATGCACGTCTGCCAGTATATAGCCGCTGGAATACAAAATGGCGGCCATGTGAAGATATAGGTTGTAAGATTGTATACAGAGACGTCTTATTGATATATAAAGGTATTAACCCTTTCAATTTATCGTTTAAGACATTAAATAATAATGTTATCCCTTACCCGTGGATTTCAAGTCGAAAAATTGAATTTGCGATTCAAAAAGTTTAATTTTTCGGTTTTTAGCTTATGTCAGTGAAACTATGCGTTCTATGTATAATTATGTCATATGTGAAGTTACAGCTGACAAAATTTGCTAACTAATTGCAACTAATGGTTATATTAGTTGTTTTTTTCTATATTCTACAATTTCCGTGATATCCCTCCTCTTAATTCGAAAATTACGAAAAAAATAATTTTTGTATAGCATTTTTATCATTATTTGGCTCACCAACTGTTCATCATTCAAAGGCTAGAGCTATTTAAATTTAAAGTATTAATTTAATAAATGGTGAAAATAACACCTAATTAGAAGATTTGTCATTGTTTTTCTGATATTTGGACGAAATAAAAAAAATAGGAAGGATAATGATTTTTTTGAACAATTCTAAAATATTTTGATCGATTCGCAGTATAAACAAACAAGAAAATTAAACTGTGGTATAAGAAATAGAAATTAAGAAACACTTATGGTGAAAATAACACATAATTAGAAGGTGTGTCATTATTATTCTTATATTTGGATGAAATGAGAAAAAATAGGAAGCATTTCCAATTTTTTGAAGAATTCGATTCGGTCGAAGATTTCGAAGAATAAATTAATTCTGATAAGGCCTGTGGACATGGTCAATTTATAAGGCCAAAGCTTAATGTGAAATATGACACCTTTTTTACCACGGGCTTCCGGACTAACTAAGCTATATGTAAGCAATGACTTGGTGTTTAATTTAATACTTCAATAAACGAGATGTAGAAAGTTGAGACGGAACAATTGAAGCTGACTTGATTACATTGGATCCGCCAGGACATCTTCACTAATATACCAGAAGAAGGCTGGAGCTGGCTATTATTGTCCTGGCCCATTGAAAGGACCTTCCTCCCCCTCCCCCTCCCAATATCTCTGTAGAGGTGTAATTATAAATTTGTCGACTGCGGCGGGAGGGGGCCCCGGATTCCTCTTCTCAATTAGCAGAGCCCCCGACTTCATCCCCATGATTTATTTCCGGAAGATTAATAAACTTGTGCCAGTTATCTTAAGGGCAGTTGTCTTCTCTACGTCCTTCGTCCCTGCCTCTCTGGAGCCGTTGGATTCTCTCTGGGTCCTACCCGAATATTTCTCTTATTAATGTCTCCATAGAGTAGCGCAGGGATCTCTTGGAGTCCTGATTTTCCTTCTATAGTTGGGGGAGAAGCCTGGCTTAGGGTTCTCTGGCTGATTGTATATATTGTATATAGGTATGACTGTGGTTTTATGTTTTTTAATTTACGTATCTTTAGGTTATTTTATTTTTTATTGTACATAGTTTTTGATTATTATTTTACTTATATTAATTTTATGTTTTCTGTATATATGGTGTGAATGTGTTCATATATCACTATATACTATTGTCCACGTGACAGGTTGTTATAGTTCTAAATAAAAACATTTAAAATAAATATATCTCCTATATTATCAACAACTGTTTATTATTTAATGTAATAAGAAACCACGATTTATTGATCCATCGCCGTTTTACAGAAACTTGCTGAGTTTATGAACGGTCTGTTGGGTTCCAGCGGATATAAGGTTATATTTTATATGTAAAGTAGTTGAGAAACTGTGTTTTCATTCAGAACTTTTTGTAATTGATCCATATTTATACGTGACAAAATCATGGGTGGCCGAGCAGACTAACAGAAATTATAAGATAAAATAGTTTCGATTTCGCGTCCCTGTATCAGTAGGAGGTTTTTAACTGTGCTATCAATCCCCACCCTCCCCCCTGCCCTGGGAAAAACCCAATGGCCTAAAAACCGCGAGGAAAAGATGGACATGAAAAAAAAAAAGAGCAAACTAAATGTTCCTGATTATAATATTTCCGTTTTCACGAAAACAATTTAAGTAATAATCTGGTTTTTTTATTGTATCGTTAAATTTCAAAACTAGAAATATTTATTGATTGAAATCTCAGTAAAAAAACACATTTTCATTTTAAGTTTAAATGATGAATAATAATAATAATCGTAAATTATTTATAACACTTTTTTTAAAGTAATAAAAACAGTATTTATGCATTCATATTTGTTATAATACAGGTCATCGAGGAAAAAAAAATTAAAGCTGTGTAATTATTTAATGGCGTCATTTTTGGTTAAAACACAGCTACATTTAGGGATATAAAATCACAATTTTTTTACACAACTTGAGATAAATCTCAACTATTTTTCTAATAAACCTTTACCCAATTAATATGGTCTTAAAATGTATTGAATAAGGAAGTTTTTTTTTTTTTTTTAAAGTGGGGCATTTGAAAAAAAACCACATAAAATAGTGAATAATTCATATTTTTTTTTAAAATATAACTTAGCATAATTTATCTGCCCTAAAGGTCCTATTTAAATTATTTTAACAATGACAAACTCTACTTTTATTTGAAGTAAATTTTCTCTAGTTTTATATGAAATAATTGTCAATCATTTAAATTAAATATGTTTTTTAGTTAGCGGTTCCTGTTTAACAAAAAACAGGACATTGAAAACAACAACATGAAGTTGATATTTATCTGCCGAAAATTGCCCCATTGCTTATATAAACTTCTTTGTAGCTCCTCAGTTTTACTATGGTTCCTATTAATATTCGAGACACTCTCTATAATGGTTTGTCTTTTAGAAAGAAAAAAAAATACCTCTGAGGGTAGTTATCATGCAAACCGTATCAGCCCCAGATTATGAACATACATCCCACCGGAAGGCAGGCCCGGAAGTACTTGAGCTCCTCGATATGAGAGAGGATGCCAGCGACGTTCCTTTCCCTCAAGGGCTGTTATGGGATCATGGAGGCATTAGCTTGATAGTCACCATTATGTCATTATTGCTTGCCTTCTATTTTTGGGAGAACAATCTCCATCTAGTTAGCTCTTGCTGATTAATAACTGCTACGGCAGGAAACGAACCCGCCGCATCTGGGCCTCAGGGCAGCCGTGGGAAGCGATGAGCTCCTAGGAGCACGCTAGTCTTACGTTAATAATGGATACGCATAATTTTAGAAAATAAATCGTATTCAGATTATAGTTGTAAATTACGAAATACATTTTAAAATATTTTATATTTTGTTTATGAATATTATTCGAAATAATTAGGAAGTTGGATCTCATCTTACACTCACAAATATGCATTCGCACTCACCCACAAATAGATGGTATAGATGACTGTAATGACTTTCTGGTAGGAGTTGTTCCGCCTAGTGCTGCTCTCTATAGGGAAATTATAAGCTTGATATGGATGCTTACGATTAGCCATCGTACCTTTGGAACCCACCAATTAAGCACTGTGTACCTTACCTTATTTTATAAATATATTAATTTTAGTTGAGTATAATAGTATAAAACTTAAATATGTTAAGTTTAGTTTAGTTAGGGTTTTTGAAAATAAAGTATTGCGTAGAATATTCGGACCGAAGAAGGATGAGTTAACCGGAGAGTTCAGACGGTTACACAACGCCGAATTGCGTGAGCTGTATCCGGGTAATATAATTGAGGTGATTTCATCGCGGCGAATCAAATGGGCTTGTAAAGTTGTTGGGCTTAGTAACGAGAGAATTCCTAAAAGGTTAATATTTGCTGTGCCGAATGGTAAGCGTCCGAGGGGTAGACCGAAGCGAAGGTGGGAAGATTGCATTAAAGCCGATCTGAAGGGACTGGGTTTGGACGGCGAACGGTGGAGGGAGTTGTGTAACGAGCGATTAGTGGTGTCGGCATCGGACCTTCGGGTTCGCTAAGCCTTATTATTATTATTATTATTATTATTATTATTAATTTTAGTTGGCGAAGAACTCGCCATGTGTGATTTTATTTATATTTTTTTTGTTGCTCTCAGCTGTAAGCAGCCTCTTTTATTTTTGAATTGTTGTTAAATATTAATAAGAAATTTTGAATTAATTATTTCATAATAAATTTTTATTTGGTAATATATTCATTTATAAGAAGAAAATATAATTGTTGTTGTTGGTTCCTTTGAAAAAATTGAACTACCTGGACCTAATCGTAAACCATGTCACAATATATATATATACACACACACGATGAGTTCTCAATTCTCCATCGCTTCAAATCGTCGTCAATACCGCGGCAATGGAAAGATGGATGAATCATAAATTTTTAGGATATGTTGCAATATATAATACTCTTTTAATATAAATAGTTGGTTCAACAACACATCTATAATTTTTTTTTTAAATGTTTCTTCGCATCATAAATATTCGGAAAAGATTTTTAATTGAACTATTGTTATAGTATAATATAAGCAAAGTTGGATTAGTTAGAAGAATTTTACACTTGTTCAATAAATTTTAAAAACTGTGTTATTTATATAATAATAATTCTAATTATTTGCCTTCTCCTATATAATCAAATGTTTTTTTTTTATTTTACAATTACATATTTTGATGTTATTTAGTAATTATTTTAATTGACTAGATAAAGGTTATTGTTGATAATTTCAGAATTTTGAGGTCGGGTGTATTCAGCCCTTTTCTTTATCGGTCATCTCTACTTCTCATTTAGTTCTTGTGCCATCCTCTTTTTTGAGACCTGTAAACATAAGTCTTGAATTAGTTCAGAGTATCGTCAATACAATGTCAATAATAAATATTATAATGTTATATATGGCAGAGGAATTGTAAGTCCTAAAAAGAAGATACTGTAACCAGCGGTTGCAGCGATACAGTTAGAGTACATTTTCAGTTAGAAATAATAAAAAGCTACAAATAACCAGTTTTCATACCCAAAAAATGACTTCTATAATGAAATCTTTATCGATAATAAAAGGTTTTTTTTTTCAACTTTTGACTGAAATAAAAAGAAAATGCATGTACTTGAAATTCCTTAAAGCAAATTGTATTTGCCTTTTTTTTTTGTGTGTATGTGTTTCAAGATCAACTGCAATTCATTTATTTTATTCATTTTAGAGTTCCAGTAATAAATATTTATGAATCTTCGTTTTATTATTATTATTACTATTATTACTTTCAAATTTAGAGGACAACTTATACAGTTCGTTTTCTGTGAATTACTCCCCCCTCCCTTCCCAGATTTAAATAATAATAAATTTCAAGATAATCTATATTTAATTAATTTTGTTCGTTCTACAGTTCCATTAAAAATCATTTTATGATAGTGGGTAATATTTGACTTTAGAAGATATTAGGAGAGAAGTTGATTGGAATGTACAGTCAATTCAAGAACAAAGTGAAAATAAATAAATTATATTTTATAGGGCAAAATAAATATTATCTATTTATTTTTATTTTGTTCTTTCATTGACTGAACACTCCAATCAACATCCCTTAAAAAAAAAAAAAAACATTAAGTTTGATTCTTATTATTGTTTTCTAATTTTACTTCTAACGACTTCCTGTCCTACAGTTTCCTTTAACAATACTCCACTTATCCCTGTTGAGCAAATCCGATACCTAGGACTCCACCTGGACAAACGACTAACTTGGAATCCTCATACTAGACTGAAACGACAAGAAACCGCTCGACGTTTCCGATTACTTCAGCACTTACTAGACAAACGCTCTAAACTTCCCATTAATTACAAAAGACTCATATACTTGACTATAATAAGACCTATTTGGACTTACGGAGTTGAGCTATGGGGCTCCACTAAACCATCGAATTCCTCTCGCATCCAATCCTTACAATCCAAAATCCTTCGTAAAATCCTCAATGCTCCTTACTTTGTCACTAATAAAATTATCCATAAAGATCTTAATGTTCCTTATGTTTCAGATCTGGCCCAATCCAGATACCTATCCTTCCATAATAAACTTCAGAATCATCCCAACCCTCTCGTTTCTAACCTTGCTTCCTCTTCAATTCCTGATAACCCTCCGAGGCGTCTGAAAAGAAGATGGCCCCGTGATCTCCTAATGTAGTCATATCATTAGAGTGCTACCATTGGGTAGTTACTCAGCAAGTGTATTCATGTCATTATATCAATTATGTTCAAATTTACTTGATGTATTTATGTAATACAGTTGTAAATGTCATAAAGGAATAAAAAAAAAAATTTTACTTCTCATACTCATATTTTTCTTTGAAGTTTACCCCTTTACCATTCGAGGCCTATGTGATATCAAATCAGCCGACGATATCTATAAGGCCTTGGAACTCCCTGGACCCTAGCTATCTTAGGCTGGAAGCTATGACGTACTCCCCTAGTTCCAGGACGGCGGCAATTATCAAAGGTCTCGGGCAATGCTAGGACCTATCGGCTAGGAGTGGCCACTGAGTCATCGCGGAGGTTCCCGGTAAGTACTGGCTCAGCCGATGCAGTCACCTCTGCGGGGTACGGTGTGGGCGGGGGTATACGGTCAGGAACTGAGTCTGTGCCGGGGTATCTGTGGTGTAGGGAGTGAATGTCTAGTGCGGTGGATAGTGAGGGAGTGCTGTATCTCTTCAGGTAGGTACTTTTATATCAGTTCAGAAATGTTATTTTACATAGATAGGAGTGCCATGGACGCGGACTATATGTATACTTTGTGTATAAAAAAATTATAATTATGATAATTAGCGAAAGCAAAATAATTATTGTGAAACGAACAATATAATAAATACTGTATATACACAACTGCACAATATATATATGTGTGTGTGTGTGTGTAAGTTTGCTGCAGTATACTGCAACGCTGTTGCAACCTTCAATGTGTTATCCAATGACATATGATTGAAATTGTGAATATTAATTTGTACTAGTGAAAATAAGTATAATTTAATTGTTTATAGAAAAGAATAAAATCTCGTTAAAACAATCTTGTGTATATATAAGATGAGTTCTCAGTTCTTCGTCGCTTCAAATTTGTGGGTAATGTCTTGAAGTAAAAAATGAAAGGGTGGACATGAATGAATCATAAATTCCTAGGATATGTTGCATATAATAATATTTTATTATTAAATAAAATTTCAATAGTAGCGACATTGTGCGCACATTCCTCTATCAAATTATCAGCAGCCCTCGCCCCTCCTGTAGCTATGATCTCCGATTCAAGTCCTCTGTCCACTCTCTCACCACAAGATCCCGACCATCTAAACTTTATACTCCTTTTTACTAACCTGCCTCTTTTTAAAACTCCTTTGTAGTCCGCTCTGCTTCATTTTGGAATTCCTTACCTTTAGAAATTCGACATGCTTCTTCGCTATCCACTTTTAAAATTCTCCTATTCCAACTTATTTTCTCACTATAGTCAGAAAACCACATATTAAGTAATAATGTAAAAAACCGTATTTTTTATCTTAATTAATTTGTTTTTGTTTTCTTTGTACATATTACTTATGATCTTTTATACATAATATATGCATGTATATGTATATATATTTTTTTCACACAATTTTTCATTTGACAACACGGTTTATGTATATATTTCAGTGTATGTCTATCTGTATTTCAACATAAATTGAAATTTTCTTTTATTCATAGGAGATTTGTTGCTCATTTGTTGGAGGACCATAGCTTGTATTCTCCTTTTTTTTTTATAATATATTTCTTTTGATTATTATAATCTTTAACCTTTTTTAACTATGCAGCGATTATTTTGTTTCATAGTCTTTTTAATTTCTTATTTGTATTGTATATAATTGTAGCATTTTGTAAATAGTCTCACTGGTTTGATTTCGTATATATAGTTTATTTACGTAAAGCGTTTTATCTAGCTACTTTTTAATGTTACAGGTTTTCTGGTCAGATGTTATTATTTTTTTTTCTGTAATATTCTATTATTCTTAAGGAGCTCCGTCCCAGAATAAAGTTATTTTCTATTTCTAAAATACTTCTATGCCTTAGCTTCGCTATCTAGTTGGCTTTTCGTATTTTCTTAATTTATTTTTGTATACATAATTTATTTATTGATGTTGATTAATTTTCATCATAACATACGAAATGTTGGAGGAGGGAGAGAAACGATATTCTCACCCGTTTTAATTTTCATTGAAGGGTTAATCGCTCCCTCTCTCCTTTCCAAGTGATGTGTGTGTTTGGTTTTTATTGCACTTCTTAGCTTTCCTTTGGCCATATTTTATTATTTCGCTGTGCTTATCTTTTCTCATCCTGTTCGTGTTTTCCCGGTTTTGCTCTTTGTTACTACTTTCTGGGCAGTTCCTCGATTGTTTTTCTGTTTTAAATGTCCTCTTCTGCAGTCTATGATAAATTTTTATTTAATAATCCATTCTATAGCGTCCTATTCTCTTTAGATTCAACTCTTTTCTTGGTAGGGTGGTTAAGAATGGATCCCTAACAAGTAGGTTCATTCTTTTTCTATGTCCATACAAAATTAGTGTACCTGTCCTAATATCGCTGTGATCAAAATTAAAATAAATCGTCTTTGTTATGAGTTAGGAGTATAGTAATTAGATCAAACGCTTTAAAATTTAGACGAAGTTTAAAATTACATCTGTATATAACCCCAACTTAAATAAGAAACTTTCCACTAAATCGCACTTGATATACCTGTTTTCAAAATAAACTTCGCGGGCACAACATTAATGATATAGCGTGCCTAATAGGAGGTAACTAAAAAGAAATCGGATGAGAGACCTGAAATTCTATAATCATAAGTTATTAGATTAGCTTATTGTCTCTCATATTTATAACAGTTGTGAATGCAGAATTCTAGAGATAATTTAAAACTGAGACATTTTATAGAACAGTTTCAATTAGACATATTAACATTAAGGGGTCTTATTACCCGAGTACATCGACCCTGACCATAAGCTTATGTTTACTGCCGTGGTTTCAGGAACCCTACCCTAATAAACAAGAGGACCACAGACAGACCACAGCACTCCCCTTAAGAGCTAAATAATAAACCAATAGCCTGGCAGATAACTAAGAGGGAGGATAACATAATTGTAGGAAGGGATTCAGGCGACCACTTTAAGGTTCTTGGGTCATTATTATGGAAGGGATATATCGTGCCGTATAGCCTAAGGGTTCCGCTAAGGAATAAACCTATAGTTTGACCATTTAGTGAAGGCGTCCCCCCCCACTCCTCAACTTCTCCCATTCTTTAGCTACTGTCCATGATACAGGTCAGGATTTCCACTTCGGTAAAAGTTCCCTTTTCAGGGACATTCCGAGATTGGGTGGGGAAAAAAAGGGGAAACAATGTTCTTCAATGAAGGCATAATCTGAGCACAGTTTAATCTATTGGTTACATAATATAACTAAAACAGACATAAAACTATAGTTACTTATTATATTGCTATTATTTGGTATATATTAGGGCGGAAAGAATTTTTTAATTCGTTCTTTCTGAGGGGAAAAAAGGAAATTCTGACTGACTAAACGGGAAATAAAAAAATATAGTGGAAACGCTTGTAAATGCCACTTTTTATGCCTGAGCTACAATATTTTATCTACGAAACTTCTCATCAATGATTTTTTCTTCTGATTTAATTAATTAATTCAATGAGATATTAAAAACTCATGAATGCCCATTTTCTTTCCGTTTAGATCGTAAGATAATTTGATGAACAAATCGATGTAAAAGGTGGCCTATAAAAATATTAAAATAACCTTGATATTTTAATATGTGGGGATATCACTCTAAATGTACGTTATATTCCGTAGTACAGACTCCTTTTTATCAAATTATTAAGGCCCGCCTGAAACTTCGCAAATAGTTTCATCTCATCGTAACCTACAACTATTTTATTTACGAAAACTCTTTTAATTGGAGCATTTTCAATCTGGAGAGGGACAAATTCTGTTTATTTAATTGGGTACAAAAAACTCGTAAATACTCATTTTCTTTCTACTTGGATCGTAATATAATTTGATACCATAGTCGAGAAAAAAAGGTGGCCTTAAAAAATATTAATCCGTTTGGCGTAACCTACACCTCCGAATTTTCAAAATAACGAGGTTATATAGGACAAACGGCCCTATGTTTTTGTAGTCCGCCTTTTTTTATCTATTTTGTGATTATTTTATCATCCGATCCAAGTAGAATGCAAATGGATATTTACGATGTTTTAGTAGCTAATTAGATAGACAAAGTTTGCTCCCCTCCAGGTTGAAAACGCCCCAATTCCGAAAAGAGTTTTCGTAAATTAAATAGTTGTAGGTTACGATGAGATGAAATGATTTACGAAGTTTCTGGTGGATGTTAATAATTCGATAAAGAGGGGTCTGTACCACGAACTATTATATCAATATCAAAAATATCAAGGTTATAAGGTTATGCGGCCCAATATTTTTGTAGGCCACCTTTTACATCGATTTTTTCATCAAATTTTCTTACGATTAGAAAGCAAATAGGCATTCATGAATTTTTAGTACCTTATTAAGTTGACAAAGATTACCGATCTCTAGATTGAAATTTTGATTCATAAAAACTTTGGACGTTACGATAGAATGAAGCCATTCATAAAGTTCTAGACGTATGTTAAAAATTTATAAAAAGTAGTCTGTACCGCGGGATAGAACTAGAGCAAAAATATTTTAATTATTACTTTATTATAAAGTATTTGTGATATTTAATAGCATTTTTTATTTTAAAATACTGTGTATTTTGTTTATAAAATATTTAAATAGTTTCAATAAAAAGTATTTCAAATATAGAATACTTTAGGTATTACTTAATGCATTTTACATTTTAATCACAATAAAAAATATACAAATAAAAAGCCTCTTGTTATGGCGCTCTACAACGAATTCCTTAAAAATTAACCATTTTTTGTGAGGAGAGGAGTTATGATGTTAAGATAAAGTGAATATGAATTTAAAATAATTAATTAGGAAAAATTATTTAATTTTATTATTATTTTTTTTTTCATAGCGCCAAAGTTTCACACCAAATTCCTATTTTGCCAGAAATTTATTCTATTTCATTTTAAGTACTCTCCAAGATATCATATAAATTGAATCTTTGTTTACAGTAAAAAATTGTGAACATTTTGTTTACCTATATCGCTGTTTTATTTTGGATTTATTTAATAATTCATGCTGTTGTAAGACCCTCTCCCATAAGACAAGGTATAATAGGGGCGTTAACCAACCCTCTACACGATTAGGGGCTAAAAGAGACACCTTTGGGTACATTATAGTGCAATTAGAGGTCGCTGGTGTCAGTTTTCTTTTGAGGGGGGCCCCTGATGAATTTTTGAACCCCTCCTGTTGAATATTTATAGAGGTATTAGCGGGGAGAGGTGAGCTCCTTGGCAATTAAAACAGTTTGCTTCGAGTTTTCTAAGCCGGGCACCAGGTGGCGTTCCAACCCCCCTGTACTCTGCACTTCCTCGCAGTTGTGGAGTTTTTATTTTTTTGTTGTTTAATGTTGTTAAAATTAATGTTTTTTATATTCCTCACTCCTTCCACGTTCCCCTTGAACCTTTGTTTCGACCTACGTCATAGCAGTCGTTT